CCATGTTGACCAGGATGGTCTCGATCTCTTGACCTCGTGATCCACCCGCCTCGGCCTCCCAAAGTGCTGGGATTACAGGCTTGAGCCACCGCGCCCGGCCTTACACAGCTGTTTCTAATGGGCATGAATGCAAAAATCCTCAACAAAAGACTAGCTAACCAAATATAGCAGCATGTTAATAATATACACAATGGTTGAGTGCACTTTATGTCAGGAATTCAAAGATTTAATATACTAAGTCGATACATGTAATACACCACATAAACATTAAAAACAAAAATCAGGCCAGGTGCGGTGGCTCAGGGCTGTAATCCTAGCATTTTGGGAGGCCAAGGAGGGTGGATTGCCTGAGGTCAGAAGTTCGAGACCAGCCTGGGCAACATGGTGAAACCTCATCTCTACTAAAATACAAAAAATTAGCCAGTCATGGCGGTTGGTGCCTGTAATTCTGGTTACTTAGGAGGCCGAGAAAGGAGAATCACTTGAATCTGGGAGGCGCAGGTTGTAGTGAACCGAGATTGCTCTACTACACTCCAGCCTGGTCAACAGGGCAAGACTCCATCTCGGAAAACAAAAATCATACAATCATCTCAATGTATAAGGAAAAATTATTTGGCAATATCTAGCATCTCTTTATAATTAAAATTCTCAGCAAAATTGTCATAGAGGGAACATATTGTAAGGTAATACAAGTCATCTATGACAGGCCAGGCATGGTGGCTCCCACCTGTATCCCAGGACTTTGGGATGTCAAGGTAGGTTAATTGCCTGAGCTCAGGAATTTGAGATCAGCCTGGGCAACATGGTGAAAGCCGATCTACTAAAAATACAAAAGTTAGCCATATTCAGCTATGTGGGAGGTTAGGGCAGGAGAATCACTCGAACCTAGGAGGTGAAGGTGGCAGTGTGCCAAGATCTCACCACTGGACTTCAGCCTGGGTGACGGAGGGAGACCCTGTCTAAACACTCTCGGTTCAAGTGATCCTTCTGCCTCAGCTTCCTGAGTAGCTGGGACTACAGGCACATGCCACCGTGCCCAGCTAATTTTTGTATTTTTTAGTAGAGACGGAGTTTCACCATATTGGCCAGGCTGGTTTTGAACTCCAGACTTTGTGATCTGCCTGCCTCGGCCTCCCAAAGTTCTGGGATTAAAGGCATGAGCCACCGCATCCAGCCCAGAATCTTTTTTATTTCAATATAATATAGAAAAGCTAACTATATTTGTAACTGTTAACAGAAAATTTGAAAAAACATCTTTTATTAAAAAACATAAAATGTTTTTCATCTACGAATATTGATACAAAACAGTTCAAAATTACTTCCTAGGAATTTCACTAAAAATTAGTTTGTTAAAGGTTAATATAATTTATGTATAACCAAGACTACTAGGTGTAAGAAAACCAAATTTTTTAGAGATGGCTCTCTCTATGTTGCCCAGGCTGGAGTGCAATGGCTATTCACAGGCAGGATCCCACTACAGATCAGCATGGGAGTTTTGACCTGCTCCATTTCCGTCCTGGGCCGGTTCACCCCTCCTTATGCAACCTGGTGGTCCCCCGCTCCACGGAAGGTCACTGTATTGATGCCAAACTTAGTGCGGACACCCGATCGGCATAGCGCACTACAGCCCAGAACTCCTGGGCTCAAGCACTCCTCCCACCTCAGCCTCTTGAGCAGCTAGGACTACAGGCACGCACCACCGCACCCGGCTTAAAAAAAAATTTTTTTTTTCATAGAGAGTGTACAAAGGCCAGGCATGGTGGCTCATGCCTGTAATCCCAACACTTTGGGAGGTCCAGGCAGGGGGGTCATTTTGAGTTTAGCAGTTTAAGACCAGCCTGAGCAACATGGTAAATTCCAGTCTACTTAAAATCCGAAAATAAACTTGGCATGATGACACACACCTGTAATTCCAGCTATTCCAGAGGCTGAGGCTGGAAAATCACTTGAACCTGGGAGGCAGAGGCTGCAGTGAGCCCAGATCGCGTACCACTGCACTCCTGCTTGGGCGACAGAGAAGGACTTCCTCTAGAAAAAAAAGTTTAAAAATTATGAGATCTTAAAATATGTATGAAAGTCTAGAGTGTTCCAAAAGACAAATTTGATGGACTTAAACAAATTTTTTTAATTATTATTATTTTTTTGAGATGGAGTTTCACTCTTGTTGCCCAAGACGGAGTGCAATGGCACTATCTCGGCTCACTGCAACCTCTGCCTCCCGGGTTCAAATAATTCTCCTGCCTCAACCTGCCAAGTAACTGGGATTGCAGGCATGTGCCACCACGCCCAGCTACTTTTGTATTTTTAGTAGAAGACTGGGTTTCTCCATGTTGGTGAGGCTGGTCTTGATCTCCCCACCTCAGGTGATCCTCCCGCCTTGGCCTCCCAAAGTGCTGGGATTACAGGCATCAGTCACCACGTTTGGCCTTGATGGACTTTAAAAAAAATTAAAAAAAATTGTTTTTGAGACTCTGGAAATACTAAATTTCCATAGTCTCGCCGTGTTGCCCAGGGTAGGGTGCAGTGGCATGATTTTGACATACTGCAACCTCCGTCTTCTGGGTTAAAGTGATTCTCCTGCCTCAGCCTCCTGAGTAACTGGGATTACAGGTGCGTGTCACCATGCCCAGCTAATTTTTTTGTTTTGTTTTGTTTTTGAGACAGAATTTTGTTCTTGTTGCCTAGGCTGGAGTGTAAGATGCGATCTGTGCTCACTGCAGCCTCCACCTCCAGGGTTCAAGCAATTCTTATGCCTCAGCCTCTCAGGTAGGTGGGATTACAGGCATGCACCACCAAGCCCAGCTAATTTTGTATTTTTATTAGACATGACATTTCACCATGTTGGTCAGGCTGATCTCGAACTCCTGTCCTCAGGTGATATGCCCGCCTCGGCCTCTGAAAGGGTTGGGATTACAGATGTGAGCCATTGCGCGAGGCTGCCCAGTTATTTTTTTTTTTTTTTTTTTTTGAGACGGAGGCTCACTCTGTCGGCCAGGCTAGAGTGCAGGGGTGCGATCTTGGCCAAAGGCATCCTCTGTTTCCCGGGTTCAAGCAATTCTCTGCCTCAGCCTCTGGAGTAGCTAGGATTACATGCACCCACCACGCCTGGCAAATTTTTGTGTTTTTAGTAGAGAAGGGGTTTCACTATATTGCTCAGGATGGTCTCGAACTCCTGGCCTCATGATCTGCCAGCCTCACCCTCCCAAAGTGGTGGGATTACAGGCGTGAACCCCCGCGCCCAACTGATGGAAATGTTTAATGTTTTATCAAATTAGCTTTAGTATTGAGAATACATTATTACTAAAGTAAAAGTTGATTTTCTCTTTAAAAAAATTTATTATTAATATACATAAATAATTATTAATATACATAAAATATTTTTGTTCATATGTTTAACACATTAAAAAACAGAACGCAAAAAAGAGAAGTTTTCCATGCTCTGGCGTGGGCCTGGCTCAGCTCAGGGAGGAAGCCCTGCATGAAAAGGCTGCAGCTTAGGCTGTCGCTCTTTCTTCCTTCAGCCCCGCGTGTGATCACATCTTGTCTCTCCGGGCCTGAGTAGGCGGGGTCTTTAACGTTATCCAATCAGGGACGTTGGGCTGGGAACTGTCCAATCAGACACACAGCTGGAGTGGACAGGGCGGTTTCCGGGATGTGGCGGGGCCTTTGGCTGCAGCGCGAGCTCCAGGTCTCCTCTTCACTCCTCTGTCTTCTGCTCTTAGAGACCCTTCCTCTGTGGCCCTGTGATCTGCAGGTATTGGAGATCCGCAGCTAAGATGCCAGGACCCCCTGGAAGCCTAGAAATGGTGAGAGTGCTAGACATCCCGAGAGAGGGGAGGGGGTTGGTTGGAACTGGTGGGAAGTGGCTGTGGCAGGACTCTGGTCTCCCTGCAGTCAGCTCCGCAATCTGCGTCCCGAGTTCTCCTTGCCCAGCTCGGCCTTAAGGTCCCTTCGGTTATAAGATGGCGGCTGCGCTGACAGCCACCCCTGGCGTCCTCTCTTCCTTGCTCAGTGACTGTGCCTTGGCCTAGCGCCCTCTTTGGACATCTCTGCACCCGAAATGCCGCGTCTCTCCCAGATTGTGCAGGGAGCCTGGGAGGGTTTTCAGGGGAGAATCCTGACTCTGGGCGCTGGTTCATGAATGGGAAGAACTTTGGTCAGTGGGGTTCCCAGGCCCTCTTTTATTCTATTAAAATTTTACGGGCATCACTGTGAAACTATTTTAAAAATTAATCAAAGAGTGATTGAAAAATTGTAGAGCACCTAGCTGCTGTTCGTAATTTGTCGTCCATGGAAGGAGCTTGAAGGAAAGATTTTTATAAGTTTCATGATAAAGAAAATAAAGTTCAGTAATTGGCTAGGTATCGTTATGTAGTGTTTTATTTTTATTTATTTACTTTTTTTTTTTCTTTTTGAAACAGAGTCTCACTCTTTTTCCCAGGCTGGAGTGCAGTGGTGTGATCTTGGCTCACTGCAATCTCCACTTCTCTGGTTCAAGTGATTCTTTTGCCTCATCCTCTATAGTAGATGGGACTACAGGCACCCGCCAGCACACCTGGCCAATTTTTTTCTTCTTTCTTTTTTTTGTAGAGAACAGGGTCTCGCTATATCACCCAGGCAGGTCTCGAACTCCTGGGCTCAAGCTATCCTCCCGCCTCTACCTCCCTAAAAGCTGGGATTACAGGCGTGAGCCACAGCACCTGACCATTTTTAAAAATTTTTAAAACAAGATTTCACCATGTTGGCCAGGCTGGTCTTGAACTCCTGATGACGTTAGGTGATCCACCCACCTCAGTGTTCCAAAGTTGTGGGATTACCGGCATGAGCCACCATACCCAGCCTAGTTTCTTAATTTATACAATCAAAGTGAAAATATCCTGGTTATGTAATCAGAGCTTAATTGGCAGTTTATAGTTGGTTAAGCCTGAATTTTGTTTCCTCCAGTGTAATAATTACCAAGAAATGCTCTTGAGTTTAGATTTTTTTTTTTAGAAGTAGAAATCCAGACACTAGAGCCAACTCAGTCTAATTGCCTGCCACTTAATTATTTTCACACTCCACAGGGGACTGATTTTTCCCTGAATTTTTCACGTGTCCCAAGCAGGGCCTCTAGTCCGCACGTCATCCCCTATTCCTCCAGCCTGACTCTGGCTTGCAGTACAATACTAAATTTCCAGCTTCATCTGATATTCCCAAATGCCAGTTTTCCCTCCCTAATATTTGAGACAGAGTCTCACTCTTTTTCCCAGGCTGGAGTGCAGTGGTGTGATCTTGGCTCACTGCAATCTCCGCTTCTCTGGTTCAAGTGATTCTTTTGCCTCAGCCTCTATAATAGCTGGGACTACAGGTGCGCACCACCATGCCCAGCTATTTTTTTTTGTATTTTTAGCAGAGATAAGGTTTCACCATGTTGGCCAGGCTGGTCTCAAACGTCTGACCTTGTGATCCGCCCACCTCAGCCTCCCAAAGTGCTGAGATTACAGGTATGAGCCACTACACCCGGCCTAGTTTACATTTTGATACATTTTAATTAATGATTTTTATTTCTAATTTTTGAGATGGAACCTTGCTCTGTTGCCCATGCTGGCGTGCAGTGGCATAATCTAGGTTCCCTACAACTTCCGCCTTCGGGGCTCAAATGATTCTCCTGTCTCAGTCTCGCAAGTAGCTGGAAATACAGGCACCCACAACCACGCCTGACTAATTTTTTGTATTTAGTAGAGATGGGGTTTTACTATGTTGGCCAGGCTGGTCTCGAACTCCTGCTTTCAAGCGGTCCACCCACCTCCACCTCCCAAATATCTTGGATTATAGACGTGAGCCACTGCACCTGGGCAATTAATTATTTTTTGATAAAGCATTTGATGGCACATTTAGAAAGATTTGTTTTCTTTTTGCAAATATTTTCTATGAGAAGAAAGCAAAGAATAATCTGACACTGTATTGCGAAATATCTCTGTGTTTTTTTTTCTATTTTCCCCAGACACAGGTATCTTACAGAATGTTTTTGGGTCAAGTTTTCCTTTTGGAAACTTTATAGGGCGATGTGTCTTCAGTCACCCTTCAGTCTTGGACCTGGGTTTCAGTACTGTATGGTGATAAACCAAGATACCCACCATGGCACATGGCTATTTCTGCCACAGTGTGTCTAGTGAATATTAGCTTCTATGTCATTTTCTCTCATATGACAACTTGAGGTATTGAGTGTAGCTTCTCAAGTGCACAGGTGAATGCCCTGAGGCTAAGAGACATTTCCTGGTGCATTTTTTTTAAAGCTAATTCCTTGAGAAATTAATGTTATCTTTACCCAATTCAGCTTTCATTTATTGGAGACACATTGCTGATCAGCCAATCAGATACTAGTATTGAGGAGAAAACTAATTTCTGCCTCCTGGATTCATTTATGGGTCAGAAAAGTAATGCAAGAAAAATGGTAAAAATCTTCTAGAAAAAAAAACCAAACAGCACTTTAAAAGATAAACAAACAAAAAAACTAAAAACTAAACACTGACCCCAGTGAAATGGTGTGAGAACTTGCAGAGTAAAATGTGCCTAAGGCAGTCACTGGGGCATAGTTTAGAGTCTCCTGAGACGGGGGTTATTGAGCACTCAAGTGAGCAGGATGAGGTGGGACAATCTCTCAAGTAATTGGATGGCCCGACTTGACACATGAGTAAGACTTATCTGTACCTTGAAAAGGTTTGTTTACCTATTTTGATCTCAGTTTTTTGTTTATTTATTTTTGAGAGTTTTGCTCTGTCACCCAGGCTAGAGTACAGTGGTGTCATGGCTCACTGCAACCACTACCTCCTGGGTTCAAGCAATTCTCCTGCCTCAGCCTCCCCAGTAGCTTGGGTTACAGGCATGCACCACCACGCCTAGCTAATTTTTGTATTTTTAGTAGAGATGTGTTTTCACCATGTTGTTCAGGCTGCTCTTGAACTCCTGACCATATAATCCTCCCGCCTTGGCCTCCCAAAGTGCTGGGATTACAGACATGAGCTACTACTCCCAGTCATTTTTTTTTTTTTTTCAAAGAGAGTTTTTCTGCATTACCCAGGATGGAGTACAATGATGAAATCTCAGCTCACTGCAACCTCCAAATCTTGTTAGATGATTCTTATGCCTCAGCCTCTCAAGTAGCTGGACCTACAGGTTGTGCAAAAACCACACTCAGCTAGTTTTTGTATTTTTAGTAGAGATGGAGTTTCACCATGTTAACGAGGCTGGTCTCAAACTTCTGGCCTCAAGTGACTCACCTGCCTGGGCCTTCCAAAGTGCTGAGATAACAGGTGTGAGCCACTGTGCCCAGCTAACCTCAGTTTTTTAACTGTATATTGTACTTTATTAGTAGAGCTTGAAAGATAAGCAAATATTTACAAAGACCATAAAAGAGGTGAGTTTAAAAAGTTAATATCTAATAATATATTTGTTTAACATTTGTATTTACCTTTTTCTTTCTCAGAGTGAGTTTGGAAATTTCCTCGGATGTGTTTTTTAAGACTGAGCGATTTCGAGCAAAATTCCATCTAGCTTTTAGAATGGTAGTTACCAAGGAAAAAAATGTATAATGAAAATCTGTCTTCAATATCAGCTATAGACAATGAATACATTTCCACAAAAAAAATGTGGTAGATAATTGGTGAGTTACATAGATTCCTGAAAACTTCATTTCCTTTTTTTAGCAGGGTACATTTCTGACAGTGAATATTTTTGTTCTATAGCCTGTTTTTTCTTTTGTTGTTGTTTGTTTTGTTGTTTTTTGAGATGGAGGCTCACTGAGAGGCCCATTCTGGAGTACAATGGTGTAACCTCAGCTCACTGCAACATCTGCTTCCTGGGTTGAAGCCATTCTCCTGTCTCAGCCTCCCAAAGTAGCTGGGACTGCAAGCACACATCACCACACCTGGCTGATTTTTGTACTTTTAGTAGAAACAGGGTTTTTACCATGTTGGTCAGGCTGTTCTCAAACTCCTGACAACAAGTGACCTGGCCACCTCGGCCTGTTAAAGTGCTAGGATTATAGGCATGAGCCACTGCGTTCTGCTGACTGATTGTTTACTGCATGGTTTTTGATAGAAATAATAATACATTTATTGTCTGAAAGGAATACTTTTGCTTTTCTTACTGAGATATAAAATGTAAGCATCTTAAAAATTTCTTCCCTTGGCTGGGCGCGGTGGCTCACGCTTGTAATCCCAGCACTTTGGGAGGCCGGGGCGGGTGGATCACGAGGTCAAGAGATCGAGACCATCCTGGTCAACATGGTGAAACCCCGTCTCTACTAAAAATACAAAAATTAGCTGGGCATGGTGGTGCACGCCTGTAGTCCCGGCTACTCGGGAGGCTGATGCAGGAGAATTGCTTGAACCCAGGAGATGGAGGTTGCGGTGAGCCGAGATCGCGCCATTGCACTCCAGCCTGGGTAACAAGAGCGAAACTCCATCTCAAAAAAAAAAAAAAAAATTTCTTCCCTTAAATGAACACTTGTGTTTGGGTAATTTTGCTGAATTTTTGTAGCACTTAGTTTTAGCTTCAAAAACCAAGTTAATAACTCTGACATGAAAATTAAAGCTTATGCCCAGTAACTCCAAGCTAATATATAGCTAATATTGAGCCTGAAATTGTAGGTTATTAAAGGCCCAGTTAGTTTCTTTTGGGGAGCCTCCCTTGCAGATGTCCCAGCCTGATGATACGAGCCAGAGAAGAAGTCTCTATACTAACTGGAGATCCATAGGCAGATGCAGTTAAGGT